TATTTCCAATTTGAACAAAAGAATGTATAATTATCTATTGGAAGCTGTGTGCCCTATTACGGGTCTAGTAAAATTGGTCTTTTCTTAAAAAATAAGTGCCAGTTTTTTTAATGACACTATATATTCATATTGTAACCTCCTATACCTTTAGTTTGTAGAATTTAAAACACAGCTTTGTGTGAAGTTGAAACATGTTTATTTTATATTTACAAAGAGACTGTGTAGCAATTATAAGTATGATCAAATGTGAAATTTGATGAAAGGGAAACAACTTATGTTGGAATGTCTTTCATAAATGTGATCTGTTAAGCAATGGGAGAGTTTCTAGATAATCCAGCAGAGTTATCTCTGCAGCGCCCCTGACAAATAAGAGGTATACACCTGTATGCTGGCTATCTGTGTGTATAGCTGGTTTACATTGAATTTCAATGGGAGAATTCAACTGATCTAATTAATAAGCTAAAGTTTATATTTCAAAGTAAACTGATTAACACTGCAGTCTTAGAAATGGTGAATTACTGTTGTGTTCCACTCTGTAATGGGTTTGGAGGGTTTCATTTTCCACAAGACAAAAGATTAAAGAATAAATGGAGAGAAGCAGTAAAAAAGTAAAATGAAGTTATGGTCTCGCGCATTTGCAATGCCAATATAATGATCAAAATGTTAGTTCTGGCTTCCAAAACTTTTTAAGCCGCTATTTAACATTTTTGTTTTTCATCTGATGCGGCATCTGATCTGTTCACGTCATGTCATAGTATATAAACGGGTTAGCTGAAGACCTTAAGCTGAATTCTAGATAAGTTCTAAATTCTAGATAAATTCTTAAGCTGACAAAATTGAAAAGAAATGGCAATTCCATTCAAAATTTGCTTGTTAAAGCCTGGAAAGAATGCTCGTGCATGTCGATCGTGCATACAGAAAATATGTGTCAGGTATCAGTCCGAGTTGCATAATCTTATCGATCAGTCAAGCTCATTTTTATTTTTCTCCATGATGCATATAATAGTCTCATTGGCCTCCCGTGCATCAAAATTGTATCATCACAAAAATCGACTTGCACACATATTAAGTATCATTTAGTGCATTACTGAATTTATTCTCATCATATATATATAATTTATAGGTCACCTTTTGGTTGATAGTAACATTTACGGACAAGGATGGTGACATGTCCGGGGTCCGTACTCTCAGTGCCTGAAAGGGTGGATGGACCCTCATTAAGCCTAGAATACATACATACACCTTAAGCTATCAAATTGTCATAACAATTAATAATGATAATCACCCCTTGATCATCAAGAACAAAATTACAGCACCCATTTACTATATAAAATATATTTTATATACCAGTAGCAGGTACGTATATTAAAATATATTATGTTAATATACGTACCTGCCAGAAGTAATAGTAATTTTCTTGTTGCCTGTTGTCAGAGACAGGTGCATAGCATCAAAACTGATACATGTGGAACGGGTAATAGGATTTGCAAGCAATTGAAAATTCTGAAATCAGAACTTCCTGCAGCTATAATTAAACAGGGGTCACATATTTTATACGTCTTTTTCATGATTCTAAATTGTTGACAAACTAGCTTGATTGTAGAAAATATTTAAGTGATTTGACATACTAGAATGGAATATCATGACTCATACAATACGTAGTTGATACTCATTAACAATTAAGACAGATGTATAATGTGAAGATTTTATTATTTCAGACACACATTATCATGATTATGTCACGTTTTAATGCACATACAAGTACATCTTGCCTTTAAACATGTAATAAAGTATGAAACTGAGCTAAAGGCCTAGTAGCAGAATGGGTTCTCCCTTAAAGTCTTAATTTCTGTCATACGTCTCCAATCTGTAAAAATTATATAACTACATGCATTTTATTTACTAAAGAACAAATTTGAAGCAATAAACTCTATATGATTATATTTATTTGAAGCATCATAAATTTACAAATATACCAAAATAGATTATATCAAACAGATTGTAAATTCACTTTAATTAGTTCTACGTAAATAAAATGTAAATAATGGCATTATATTTTAAAAGTTTTAACACAGGAAAGCGTTGATTATTTCTCCAAGATTATTTTCATACTGTTATTCAGTCTGCATTGTCTACATTGTACAGTTGAAAAATAAAGCAGTTTATATGTTTAAGATTTAATGTAATATATTCAATTTGTTAAATATAATAACCTTAATATTAAATGATAAAATATTCTTTTATTCCTGCTGCTGAAGCCCCTTTGGTAATTAATTATTTCTTTAATTAAACAACTGACCAGTCAAAATACTCTGAAACTTTCTATTAATTTCTGTGTTTACATCAAGTGGCTGTAGTTTGTATACCTCTTATTTACTACTTCCGCTTATCAGTAGAGTGTGGGAAACTCCCCCATTATTCTAAGCTGGGAGTAATGACCTGTTTGCTGATGAAATTATTTGAGGTCATGGCCAATGGGAAGATTTACAATATCACTTGAACATAATGATTAACAACAAACTTTATAGTGATGATTTATCATAAATGTTTTCAGAAATAGGTAATACTTAATTGAAAAGGTAGTATACAGCTATGTAATACAGTAAATGCTTTTTTTTTTTTTCAAGTTTGAATACTTTCACATTGAATCAATTATTATGCTTTGTATCTGAACTGTAAACATATCTGCACATAGTTATTCATTTTACATGCTAAAATAAAACCCTGATCCCAAAACTCACTAGACATGCACTATGGCAAAGTTCAATGGTAAAGAAAAAATAATGTTCTGATTTTTTTCACAAATGCAATCTTGCTAATACACTGGTTGCATCAGAAACTGTCTATAGGGTCATTGGTAGGTCAGTGAACAGAATTTTTCCCCAGGAAATAAAATTAGGCCAAAAGAAAGATTTTGTTTTCTGCACTTATAATAACCAAGAGGAGTTTGTATGATCATTTTTTTATATTAAATTTTGTGAAAAATTGTTTTAATTTTTTCAATCTTTATTGAATTGGATTCAAACTGGAGGAAGCACATTTCAATTAATTTTGGGACACATTGTTGAACCTTATGTTTCATGTGCATAGTTGAAAGTTGATATCAGTTGAGATATCAGATATCACTTATGTGATTTTTTAGCTCGACTATTCGATAAGAATAAGTAGAGCTATTGCAGTCACCCGAGCGTCGGCGTCGGCGTAACCACTTATGTTAAAGTTTTTGTAATAGTTTAAATATTTTCAAAGTCCATTGACATATGGCTTTGAAACTTTGCACACTTGTTCACCATCATGACCCCAACCTGTAGACAGGAGGAGGTAACTCTATCAAGCATTTTGACAGAATTATGCCCCTTTTTCGACTTAGAATTTACGTTAAAGTTTTTGTAATAGTTCAAATATTTTCAAAGTCCATTGACATATGGCTTTGAAACTTTGCACACTTGTTCACCATCACGACCCCAACCTGTAGACAGGAGGAGGTAACTTTATCAAGCATTTTGACAGAATTATGCCCCTTTTTCGACTTAAAATTTACGTTAAAGTTTTTGTAATAGTTCAAATATTTTCAAAGTCAATTGACATATGGCTTTGAAACTTTGCACACTTGTTCACCATCATGACCCCAACCTGTAGACAGGAGGAGGTAACTCTATCAAGCATTTTGACAGAATTATGCCCCTTTTTCGACTTAGAATTTACGTTAAAGTTTTTGTAATAAGTCAAATATTTTCAAAGTCCATTGACATATGGCTTTGAAACTTTGCACACTTGTTCAACATCATGACCCCAATCTGTAAACAGTAGGAGGTAAACTCTATCAAGCATTTTGACAGAATTATGCCCTTTTTCGACTTAGAATTTACGTTAAAGTTTTGTAATAGTTCAAATATTTTCAAAGTCCATTGACATATGGCTTTGAAACTTTGCACACTTGTTCACCATCATGACCCCAACCTGTAAACAGGAGGAGTAACTGTATCAAGCATTTTTTTTACTATCAAGCACTAAGAATAGTCGAGCGTTGCTGTCCTACCGACAGCTCTTGTTATGTATAGACTTGATATTTGGACAAGGGGTTTTATCTCTGATGCTGAATTGAATTTTCATATCAGCTGACTTGTTTTGATTTCATTTGACCTACTTTCTTGTTTATTGACATACAGACTTGTAATTTGGACAAGGGGTGTAATTCCTGATGCTGAATTGAATTTTGATATCAGCTGACCTTCTTTTGATATTTTTTACATTGTTTTACCTATTGTCATTTTTAGGTACAGTTATATTAACATATAGAATGTATAAAAACATTGTTATTTCAAACATCTTCACCTTACATATTTTGCATGTGACATTTTGTGTATTCATTCACAAAAGTTCTGAAAAAAAGTCCTATCAAAATACCCCTGCTCTATTGGTCAATTATTCTGCATTTATTCTACATAGTCTCATAGGAATACAATTGCAACATGAAGGAAAAAAACAATCACTGTTGTGAAAGTATATAGCTACATGGGCAAGTTAAAGTTGAGCTTTTTAACACTGAAAAACAGTTGTTTCTGGTGAGCGACTAAGGGCCATCATGGCCCTCTTGTTTTTAGTTATTGCCCTTTGTTAATTTTCATATTTCATTTTTGTCCCGTCCATTTCTCCTAAACTTTATTGTTCACAAGGCGACACATCCGACTCCCGGAGTTCTAGTTCCTTAGATGATGTTCTTGTAGTTTCACCTGTGGATTTCATGCAAATAGGTAACATCATTTTGCAGGTGGTCTCTTTAGACAGGACTATCATTGCATGCTGACACATATTCTTGCAGGATGTCTTTTTCTACAGGATTATCAGTGTATATTGACAATAGTCTTAAAGGTGGTCTTTTTAGACAAGGCTGTCAGTATGTTGACAAATGTCTTTAAAATTTTACAAGACATGAATTGTAAAAATATTTGTATTCATATTGCCAGTTTCTTATATACATATTTATCTAAATGATTTAGGGTGTGGGGTTCCAATACTGGAAAAGTGAAGAAATATGGATTATGGAGAAACATGTACATAGAAAGGCCACATCTTCAGTTTGTTGGTAGGTATATGTATATATAATTTTAACTATCTGAAAGATAAGTAAGGGGCCTGAAATGATGAATACTTATGTTGGTTTATACAGAATTTATTTTAGTTTAATTGTGTAGGAAGCTATAAGCTTAAAGACACACTTTCCAATCCATTCCTGAAAGCAACCAGTACTGAGCAATGAGTGTAAAGTGTCTTGTTCAAGGAAACAACAACTTGTTCCTGACAGAGTATGAACACAACAACTTGTTCCTGACAGAGTATGAACCCATTTGGGTTAGCAATCATTATATTACTAGTCTGATGAGTTAACCACTGGGCCAGGCCACCACTACTTATGTTGAATGACTCTCAATGCCTGCATGTTCAAATCCCAGACAGGACGCTGAACCTTGTACCTTGTGACATCTTTTTGAATGAAATTCTTGTGGAAAATAAATCTGCGAAAAGGATGATACCTCAGAAGCATAAATCACAATAAAATTACATGTACATGAAAATTACAGACTCGGTTTGATTGAGTCTGTACATGAGGGATAACAAGAAAAGTGCAACATCCCTTATGCCCTCTAGCACCGGCTAAAATGAGCGGTACTCAATTTTCAATACTAAAGTGCTGGAATCAATGATCCCGAAGGACCAAATATAACAACACTGAAGTGAAGTACAGGGCAACTTTTTACAGCTAGCTGCCTCACGTCACTTGACACCTGCTGTTGCAAAAAATAAAAATCTGGAAGGGTGAAACTCAGAAACCATATTCAAAATAATGGATTCAACCTGCTTTGAATTTGGAACAGTCCATTTGATATTTTTAGGATTCTTAATAACAAAATACAAATATGTAGCTGCAAAGTGTATAGAGACTGGTCAGACTGCACAGAAGGACAGGATTGCCTTGCTCTGTTAAGATGACAAGGGCTGATCAGTTTCACTTGATTCTTATATTCTTTCTGGTTCATACTTCGTTTTTTAGCTGAGTAGGCTAAGAGTTTAGTCATTTGGCCATGTGATTCTGAGTCTGATATTTGATGTTGCAACTGTTGCCACATGGGGGTAATGGTTTTACTTGATTCACAATTTTAAACTCCATATTTGTTTTCAGGTTGTTACATCAGTAAAATGTCTTATATCCGACAAGGAGAGAAAAGTCTGGATGGATTTTACAGTCCGTGGCATAGCATAGAGTATTTCAGATACATACGATTCTTTTCTGAAGGTAAGTAAAAACTTCAGGAAGTTAAATGAATACTGTATTATTTATATGTACAGTATGTATCATATGCAGAAGACATAGTCTATGGTTTGGTCTACATGATTCCAAACCCCTTGTGGCTAAGGGGTTTACATTACTCCCTTTAATTTTGTAAATAACTCAGGTGAGCAAGGTAATTTTTTATAAATATCCATCAGAAATATTCTGCAACATTCAATTTATAAAAAGAGTGGAGCAGTCTTTTTATAAGCAGATTTATATTTTATCCTACATATTTTCAAAGATCAACTGATGGCAAATTACCATATAAGTCACTCTTATGAAATGTGTACAATGTAGTTACTTCAGCTCAACTTGTCCATGGAAAAATGAGCATTATGTCACTTTAATGGAAAAGAAAAATCACTGTTGATGATTTATATTAAGACATGTGATGTAACCATTAAAAATGGAGCATGCTGAAAATAAGTACGGAAACAAATCGGCAGCATTTATTTGTTAGATGTTGTGTTAGAATCCAAATAATATATCCCAAGCAATGATTTATCACTTGATAAAATCACTGTTTGTTGTTCGGATGCACAGCATTATAACACTCGGGCTACACCCTCGTGATATAATTCCTTGCATCCAAACTCCATACAGTGATTATGCCCCCATTTCGAAGAAAAGGGGGTATATTGCTTTGCACTTGTCGGTCCGTCGGTCCGTCGGTCCGTCGGTCCGTAGACCAAATGGTTTCCGAGTGATAACTAAAGAACCCTTAGGCCTAGGAACTTCAAACTTGGTATGGTGATTGGTCCATGACAAGTAGATGACCCCTATTGATTTTGGGGGTCAAGGGGTCAAAGGTCAAGGTCACATTGACCTTGTAAGCAAAAACGGTTTCCGATCAATAAACTAAAGAACCTTAAGGCCTAGGAACTTCAAACTTGGTATGGTGATTGGTCATGACAAGTAGATGACCCCCTATTGATTTTGGGGTCAAGGGTCAAAGGTCAAGGTCACATTGACCTTGTAAGCAAAAACGGTTTCCGATCAATAACTAAAGAACCTTAAGGCCTAGGAACTTCAAACTTGGTATGGTGATTTGTCATGATCAGTAGATGACCCCTATTGATTTTGGGGTCAAGGGGTCAAAGGTCAAGGTCACATTGACCCTGTAAGCAAAAACGGTTTCCGATCAATAAGTAAAGAACCTTAAGGCCTAGGAACTTCAAACTTGGTATGGTGATTGGTCATGATCAGTAGATGACCCCTATTGATTTTGGGTCAAGGGTCAAAGGTCAACGTCACATTGACCTCTTGGGTAAAAACGGTTCCGATCAATAACAAAAGAACCCTTAGCCCTAGGAACTTCAAACTTGGTATGGTGATTGGTTATGACCAGCAGATGACCCCTATTGATTTTGGGAGTTAAGTGGTCAAAGGTCAAGGTCACATTTGACCTTGTAGGTAAAAACGGTTTTTCCGATCAATAACGAAAGAACCCTTAGGCCTAGGGACTTTCAAACTTGATATGGTGATTTTGGTCATGATCAGTAGATGACCCCTATTGATTTTGGAGTTAAGGGGGTCAAAGGTCAAGGTCACATGACCTTGTAGGTAAAAACGGTTTCCGATCAATAACGAAAGAACCCTTAGGCCTAGGGACTACAAACTTGATATGGTGATTGGTCATGATCAGTAGATGACCCCTATTGATTTTGGGGTCAAGGGTGTCAAGGTCAAGGTCACATTGACCTCTTAGGTAAAAACAGTTTCGGATAAAAAACTAAAGAACCCTTAGGCCTAGGAACTTCAAACTTGGTATGGTGATTGGTCATGATCAGTAGATGACCCCTATTGATTTTGGGGTCAAGGGGTCAAAGGTCAAGGTCACATTGACCTCTTAGGTAAAAGCAGTTTTCGATCAATAACTAAAGAACCCTTAGGCCTAGGAACTTCAAACTTGGTATGGTGCATTGGTCATGACCAGCAGATGACCCCTACCTGATTTTGGGTTAAGGGGTCAAAGGGAAAAAAGACCATTGACCTTGTAATAAAAAAAATGCTTTCTGGCGATCAATAACTTAAGAACCCTAGGCCTAGGAACTTCAAACTTGGTATGGTGATTGGTCATGACCAGCAGATGACCTATTGTTTTTTGGGTCAAGGGTCAAAGGTCATGTAACACTTGACCTTGTAGTAAAAACGGTTTCCGATCAATTAACTAAAAAACGGGCCTAACTTCAAACTTTGTATGATGATTGGTGGTGACCAGCAGATGACCCCTATTGAGTTTTGGGTTCAAGGGGTCAAAGGTCAAGGTCACATCGACCTTGTAAGTAAAAACGGTTTCTGATCAATAACTTAAGAACGCTTAGGCCTAGGAACTTCAAACTTGGTATGGTGATTGGTCATGATCAGCAGATGACCCCTATTGATTTTGGGGTCAAAGGTCAAGGTCACATTGACCTTGTATGTTAAAAGGGTTTCGGATCAATAATAAAAGAACCCTTAGGCCTAGGAACTTCAAACTTGGCATGGTGATTAGTCATGACCAGCAAATGACCCCTATTGATTTTGGGGTCAAGGGGTCAAAGGTCAAGGTCACATTGACCTTGTAAGTAAAACAGTTTCTGATCAATTAAGTAAAAACGCTTAGGCCTAGGAACTTCAAACTTTGTATGATGATTTGTCTTGACCAGCAGATGACCCCTATTGAGTTTTGGGTCAAGGGGTCAAAGGTCAAGGTCATGACCAGTAGATACTTGATAACCCTTATTAATTGTTTGATCACTGGGTCAGAAGTCATGCATAATTACCTTATCACATGAATAATTGGCTGCTGATAGGGGGCATACATGTTTTACAAACATATCTTGTTTTATTTAGTGATTAAATTACTGTTGGGGATATTTCGTCACCTTAGTACACTAACAAAATAAGTTCTTCTAAATTTAACAGGAGTTAATTAGTTAATTCACTAAGGTGACAATATTATTTCATGAACAAAGTATTAGTAATAATACGTACCGATGGTGTTTCAGGTAAAGTGTTGATGATGACAAGCCCCGAACATCCAAGTCTGACACTTCCCAAGTTTAAATACTCCCATGCAAAGACACCTGGCATGTTGAAGGGTGCATATAAAATCTCAGGGAACAGAGTAAGCTCCCTTTGTTTTTATTGCGATTTTGCTTTGGTTTGTAAACTTTGTGTAGCAATTCTTTGGTTTTGTGTACATACGCTCATCATGTCGCCAGGTATGATTTTTAAAAGATTTGTAAGTATAACCTTGAACTGTTATGCAATTTATAATACAGTGTTATTATTAAGAAAGTCTTCTTAGCTCTTTAGTTACATGTACATATAAGTTAATTTAAAAAAAAAAAAACTATATGCCTTATCCATTTCTTTATTTTTTAACCACAAAGCATTTAAGAGGCAGATTTGCCATAGCTATGGTTAAAACCAATTTTTCTATTCATTATTGTAAATTTTATAGGAAATGCATGTACAAAAGAAAGAAAATAATGTTAACAAATATAAATCCTGAGATTTTTAAAAATCTTAATTCTTTTTTTGGGGCATCCATGGTCAATTAGTTATGGTCATTGGCTTAAAACCACTTGCCCCTTAATGCTGTGCGCGCAAATCCCATCAGGAACTTTGGATTCTGTCATGTGATGAGGTCTTTAGTTCTACTTAGGTGCCCGTTTGTGCCTGAAATAATGCATGGAAGGGCACATGTGGTCTTCCTCCACCAGTAAAATTGAAAAGTTGCAAGATGGCCTATATTATGACATTAAACCCAACCAAAAAGAAAAATGATTCTTTTTAATGTTTATGACCAATAGCTTGTCAATCATTATATGAGTCTAAGTTTTCGGTTACATTTCGTGTTACAAATTGACCTTTGGTGACCTGAAAATTCTGTAGAAATACTAGTAGATATTATACATGTATTATGTTACTATCATTCGTACAGGTGACTGGTGTGTTAAAGAGAGTACCGAGTACAGAAAATGCATCAAACTACAAGTACAAACGTAACAAGAACATTCAAAATGATGTCCAACAGAGCTTCCATATTGTAAGATGTTTTTTCTAGCTTGTCTGTTTCTAATTGGGTGCCCATTCGTGCTTGAAATAATGCACAAAAGGGTACTTGAGGTCTTCCTGCACCAGTGAAGGTGGAAAAAGAGCCATATGACCTTTACTGTGTTGGTGCAACATAAAAACTCGACCAACCAACCAGCTTGTCTGGGTTGATATAGGTCATGTGACCCTTAGGCCATCCTTAAAAAGATGTTTGTTTGCAGTAACCCGACCCAGAATTTTCAAGGTGGGTAGGTAGGTCGATTTTTTTTTTTTTTTTTCTTTTTTTTTTATTGAACTGATCTCCCAAATAAACATGGAATTTCAAAATGCTGGACAATATATGCTTTGATAATCTGGTAACAATTAATAAATTGATAACTGAATTCTAATTTAATAAGACCTACATTTTATTTCTTCTATTAACCTTTAAAAGAACAAAAACAAAGCACATTAGGCATAATTTTCTGATTCCAAAAAAAATTTTTTTTTATCCAGACCATGAAAAAAATTTTTGAGTAGGGGCAAATTTTGTGAGTCGGTCGCGTTACTGCAAACGAACATTTTTTTAAGGATGGCCTTACTATGTGTTTGTAAAAGAGTAATTTTTGTACAGAAGCTGGAATTTTTTGGTACAGAATTAGGTATTTAACCCTAACACTGTAAATTTTGAGCAATATATTTGCCATGCTTTGAAATTAGAGCAGTCCATGCACAGTTTAAATCAGCCTTCAGCTTTTCTAAAGGTTAAATATAAATCATTTCATATAATTGTCAAAATCAAAAGAATTTAGGTGGAAAAAACAATAAGGAAACCCTTGAAACCTGTTCTCTACCAGTCCGTTCTCTATATTTAAATTAGTAAAGTGGACAATTTGTTTCCCGATTTTCTGTTTTTAGAAATGAAAGTCACTGATGCATTATAAATAGCTCTCGGGACTCTGTTTTGGCAGTTTTTAAAGAAAAGACTAACTTTACTTGAACTGTAATAGGGAACTCAGCTTCACATACATCATAATTCATTCTTTTATTCAAATTAGACATATTTAGTCAGAATTTTATAGATTTCAATAAATTTCTGTGATTAAAATATTTTACTCAAGGATGAGCAAAGTATATCTTTAAGTTTGCTTATACATATTTAGTGTCAGTAGCTAAGAAATACAATATTAGAAATGTTGTTTGTATGTTGACCGATATTTTTCATGATGTTACAGGAACTTGAAATCCAGAATGTCGGTAAGAGAAATGGATGCAAGTTGTCGTGGATACACTACTCTGTGAAAACATTCTACAAGTAAGTTGACTTTTGAAAAAAATGCTTAGGTTTCTAAGTTAAAGTAGCCCTTCAACTACAAACGTTTTTGTTAAGGTAGCCCTTTAAGTACTTTAGACCTTTTGTCTGACATGTATTAAGTCAGGTGAGTTAATTAAGGGAAATGTCTGCCAACTTAGCTCAATAGATGAGAGCATCTGATTAGAAATACAAGAGTCTCTGGTTTGATCCTTGGACAATGCATTATTTCTATGTGACAATTGATCGTCTAACGGTCATTTGTCTCTCACTGTTGAAACAGAAATCATATGGGATTAATAGTTCATTATTTGCTGAGAAATTTGTAATAACTGGTTAGTTATCCAGAAAAGTTGTGTGTGTGTTTGGGTTTGTTTACCCTCGCCACCGGAAAGAGACCATATGGGCGAGCATATACTTCATTTATAACCTTTTAAAAAGGGGGAGCTGATGTTTAATTACTTATTGTTATATCCGTACATGTGTTTATGTGCATACCATATCCCCCATGACAGGGTAGTCTCTACGTACAACCTCTGCCATGGGAGGAAGATGGGGCAATCCCATACTTAGATTAAGAATTCTAAAATTAAATTATTAAAAAGCACTTATTTTAAAATGGGCCAAGACGTATATAGTAGTTACCGTCTTTTATAACAGGTCTATCTAATATTTAGTATAACTAAAAAAATTTAAAATATTACCTATAATTGTAGAGTTCGCATACTTGCGAAGAAGGCATGTCAGGAACGTTTTCTGACCAATTCATTGTGGGCTGACTGTTATTTATGTTGGTTTCTATTTAAATGTTATAAACCGTATACATTGGGATGCATATAATTAATTACATGTTTGTAATTAGCAGAGTTTGTTTTAAATTTTGTAAATTTTGTAAGTTCTACCGAACACCCGCTTTATAAAGTTAATTTTGATTGGTTTAGAGAGGATTGCCTCCTTTGTCCTCATTGGTCTAAAATTTCTTCTATCTGAATAAGGAGGTCAATCCGATTTTCTTGAAAATTCTGCAATTTTTTGTGTTGACCTATTTCGACAAGTTTGTCGCGCGGACTGGATAGAAATTTTGCGGGTGCCCGTATGCATCCAATACGGAAAAGCTTGTTAGGTCAATCAATTAACTTAGACATGACCACAAAATGTGTGAAAATTAGTGTAAAAATTACAGGAAAAAAACCAACAGTTTAAGGGAAACATTTTTTCTAGGTAGTGAAATACCCATATGTACTGAGAAATTTGTAATAACTGGTTAGTCCAGCTGATTAGGTCGATCAACCATCATAGACATAACAAAATAATGTGTTTAAATTGGTGTAAAAACATACAGAAAAAAACCAAACAGTTTAAGCTGAACATTTTTTCGAGGTAGAGAAATAAGCATATATAATTATGTAATAAGCATATTTTTTTATCCTGTGCATTTACAGTCATATACATGTATACGCTGTCTTTCCTTCCATACTTTTGTGTCCACACTGGTATTATAAAGATATATACAAAATATTCAACCTGTTTCCGCCTCATTGATTTTTAAAAGTATGTTTAATCATTCTGCCATTGTGGCTAAAAAATCCCGAAGAAACAAACAAATTTATCATCTTCTTTTTAGGTCTACCGGTGAGGATAATGACACAGATTTTGAGCTGTCTGACCGAGCGTATCCGCCGTTGATATTCTCTCGTGTGAAAAGTTTCTCGGCAGACTTGGATTCCTGCCTTCAACCGTGAAGAGCTCTTGTACATGTTAGCACAGAATTTTACACATACATAAGCACTGTAGGAATTATAGACATAGACAATGCAGACGTCAGTTTAACAGCTGACAGTTTTTTGGTTGTTTTTTTTTTTAGATTTGAAATTACATGAGTTTTTAAGGAGGGGTGGGATGTCTTTTTGTGCATGTTTTATTTTAAATGCAAAACTTTTATATGTGTCATGGTGTTCTATGTTTTGTTCAGTTTATTTGATGTTTTTTTTATAGTTAAATAAATGCTTTCTGTTACTATAGATAGATTCCAAATCTTTGCTGATCCATTGAATAATGGCTAGGAACCAGTGCAAAATTAATGTAGTTACGCGTTCAAGTTAATACTTCAGAGAGATGGTAAAAATAGACTTTTATTATGATTTTAATGCTCAGGATCTTAAAATCAAACATTTTTCATTAAAATAAAATCATTGGATAATTGTTACGATAATAATAATCATATACTCATATTCCATGTACTAGTTAGATGCTTAAAGGGAATTAGTCAATAACGGAATGTCTGTAATACAATAGATAATTATGTCATCAGACATAAAAAAACAAAAACAAAACTCAAAATGTGTACAAGGCACATAGGCTCCATGTAATGTACATACCATATTATGGTGCCTACAATTGCTGTCTACCCTAACCCTATTGTGTTGATGACCAGATGATGTGTCGATGTTTTTTATATTTTACAAAACAAAACATTTTAATTCCTCATTGAATGTTTTAAGTAGCTATTTAATGACTATTAATTATTTAGTAAAATTTATCATATATTATTAGGTTAAGTGCCACAGTAACTCTGTCTTAAGAATAGTCTTACTGTAATGCTTTCCCGCCAAAAAATTCTAACATCGACCAATATCGTAGCAAATGGGTTATTTCCGGATTGTTATTTTTTCAAAATCTTTGGCATTAGATTATTTACTATCACTCATCCTTTATCTGGAAGTACAAAATTCTGGCTACAAACAGTTAAAAATTATTGAATACCAAAGATAGTGAAAAATAGCGTTCCAGAAATGACCGATTTATTAAGATATTGGCCAATGTAAGAAATTTTTTTGGCATGAAAATTAGCATAGCAGTAAGACTACCTTAATTAATATATAACCTGTAGAATTTAATTTACGATATAGATTATTTATACTTTTTAAAATCAGCTTGTGTTACAAGATCTCGTAATAATTGGCACTATATTTTATATTTTGTTCATATTATTTAAACAGAATTTGTATTGTTTTAACGTAGTTTGTTTTTTCCTGTATATAATTATGTTTTTCTGTAAATTTTTTCCCCATTCCATGTTGAGAAATGTCAGTTGTTTGTGTTACCATATTATATTATAAATTTCAGTTATTTAAATGTAGATTTGCATTGTTTATTTACATATATTTCCATTTCAACAAAATGTTACATGATGATTATGTAATTGTCATAGTTCAGAACTGTTCACTATTTAGGGGTGAAGATATGTAAGTGGCCGAAAACTCAGTCAGTAGAGCCACTAAACGATATTTTGAGGGTCCCAGGTTCGAGTCCCGGTCAGGTTGCACATTTTTCTCACCCTGTGACATAATTCATTTTGTAATTAAGTAATCATTTAGAAAACATATTTTGTGTTGCCAGACCATGCAATTCTTCATTATTTGTAATTATCATAAATTTAATTAATAACTTAAAAGGTTAGGGACAGGGAAGACAACTAGGGTAGTTCAAAGTGGGTCCGGAGGTTTGATGCAAGTTCAAAAACCAACTGCTTATTTTTTGTTGTTTTCTTTTTCAATTCCTTGTTTGTTGTTGGGGGGGGGGGGTTGTTTTGTTTGCCCTAGCCAAATTTCTAGAATACCTAGCCAAGAGAGAAATTGTCAAATGCTTTCTGCAGATAAAAAGGAGCACATCAAACTCTGACCTGGTTTAGACTGTGTCTAGGTCACAAAAGTACTTTTTTTAGTTGTTCTTTAATATATTTAACAACATTTTAAGAAATCTTACTGGTTATGAATTCTGTCTATGCATTCCATTTTAATGCTTTTGAGCCATTTTTTAAGCATTTAAAGGGAAAAGTATGTTGCCATATTAGGTTACTTTAACAAAAGTTTTAGGATATTTTTTAAGTAGATTTACATTGTATAGAAAGTAGTTGGTGTTTTTAAAGAGAAGGAACTAGGTTATGCTATTTATTATTTAGCGAGGAAATATATAATAGTAAATTTGAGGGTTGAACGCAAAACTGCAGTAACTTATATGAAATAAAGGACTTACAACAGTGTTGCAATCGACCCTTGATATATTATCAACATATATTGAATTATTGAAGATGTTGGTGTTTTTTGTTGATATTATTGTTGTTGTTTTTGTTTTATTTGCTTTATTTTGCTACACTTTAGTGTTTGTACAGGAGGGTTTTTGCAATTATGTGGCCGAGAAATAAAAAAATTGTCATAATACTTATATAATTCAAAAGCAACCTACCTACAGAATGATTCAAGATAATTTTTCATTGATATTTCAAACAGTATTTAGTAATTAAAGATATACTATGCTCAAATTTGATATCAGAAAATATTGTTAATTGCTTCACAGTCTCTTTGTAAATATAAAATAAACATGTTTTGACTTTACACAATGTAGATATATTATGTTTTAAACTCTACACAATGTAGGTGGTCACAATATGAATGTGTAATGTCATTAAAAAAACTGGCAGGTTTTTTTTAAAGAAAAGACCAAGTTTACTTGATCTTTAATAGGGAAACGCAGCTTTCCATACATAGTTTTTTCATTCTTGTATTCAAATTAAGACATTTTCAGTAAGAATTATGAAGATTTCAATAAAATTTTGTGATAAAAATATTTTACTCAAGGATGAGCATAGTATTTCTTTAAAGCTAGCAAAAAGTACTACAGATTGTAATTGAAATTACATAAAGACGGGCAACAATATTCAAAAATAATCCTTGTTGGGTAACAGGTAACAGATATGGCGATAAAAACATAAGATTATTGGTCACGTTTTGGCACAGTGTATGTGCACCTATTTCCTGGATTGTGAAAATTTATACTTTTCTGAAATGCTGAATGTTACAATTGTTTACTAAGTTTGACTTTTTGAAACTGTTCACTCGTAAAGTTGGAGGCCTTCCACTTTAAAGGTAAATGTAAATATAGAAAGTAATCATGCTTTTATGCTAAGCAGTGTATTATTTAAAGAATAAGGAAGCATTTGGAGGGAAATTGTAACTTTTTGCCGTATGCAAATGCACTGCGCTTTGAAGATGAGAACCAGTCGGCTATAGGCGGAGCCATTCGGTTATATGTTGGTTCCCATAATTCAAAACGGGGCTTGCCTACGACAAAGCTGGGAGCCACGTTTGAATTTGTCGAAAATTTTGTAAATGGACTTAAACGGCGATAATATTGATGTTTATTTCGCCTGTTGCGTTGTTTATATTGACATTAAAGCTAAAAAAATTGATCATCATCATGAAGAATGATATCTTCTGTGTCGATGGACCAAAGGATTATGTGAAAACATTGGAAATGGAATAAAATACATGGTGATTTTGACGGTAGGTGTGCAGATTGTTTCAGGCGAACATTTTTATCTTGTGTATTTTATTATTATAGACAACGAAATATGACTTTTTTTCAAAACGGCTTATATTAAGTTTTTATGATATATATGATCAGTACATGTGCTGGGATTGACAAATATAGATTTTATTTGGATTTTAAAGGCTCCACACCAGGCATTGTTAACCAGTTTTTCAATTTTGCACATCCTGGTTATTAGGTTGGTGAATGATGGTAGTTCGGGTGGTTGGGTATTTGGGCGGATATCAAACAGGTGGTTTCTGGCCTATAACTAGAGTTTGAAAGGAGCTCTTTTAATCAAACTTGGTATACAGCAAGCTCACTTGAAGATCTTGCTTGGGATTGATTTTTTGGGTCCCCTAAGGTCAAGGTTATTGATGCTTAAAATAGAAATATGGCTTCCGCCTTAAAGAAATGCCATGTTTCTGGATTAATTCTGGCTTATTGTATGTGCTGCACTGAAACATTATGATATTGTAGACGGTATCTCAGAATATAGTGTATGTGTGTATTGTACATTTTTAGGCTTTATATAATTATATACATGTATACAGGCAGTTAATAGTGAGTAGTTTTTTCAAAATCTACAAATCGCTGTGAACAGTAGCCCATGGAAATTAACAATGAGATTTTAAGATTTCTGCTCCCGGTGATGATGGGTTGAAAATTATTTCTTACCAAGATTTATAATTCATGTAATTATAATCTAGTTGAAACTGGTTTCACAGCATATATTGATGATGATTATTGTTAAAGCAGCACGCCTCCAGATTCATGCTAATTTTCATGAAAATTTTGAAAATGTTAATACATGTAGTTAAATATTGTGAAGTGAACAAAAAAATAATTAACACATTGCAAACTGCTTTTACAATAGACTTAAATTGCCAAAAAGAGGTCAAAATATGCAAAAATAGCCCAACGCAGTAGAAATATGGTGGCAAATACTGCTCAATCAGTCAATTATCACACACATTACTTGAATCTTTTGACTTTTCTTTAAATCTGATCACACTTTTCTCACGTTTGATTTTCTTGAAATATTTTGGCTTATCTGGAGGCATGCAGCTTTAATATATTCAAGGCAGTGTCATACTTATCCAATTATCATTGGATTTTGAATGGTGTTTCTGTTTTATAACGAGTGTTGCTTTTCAATGCAGGAACTTTAATTTTTTTGAAACAGAACACTTGTCTTCTTTTCATGTCGTGCAAGTCAGCAAGGCTAGTGAATTTATTGTGTTTTTGTGAATTTGTTGTCCACATTTGGTTCAAACTACATGTATGTTTATATATATTGCACTCTATAGTATTTAAATTATACAGTTGTGTAAACAGTGTGCTGAAAATTTTATGCACGTTTCTTTGTGAGGAATGTTTTTTTATCATGCAATTAATTAAATTGTTTTAAAGAAAATGTAAAGACTTTTTCTCTATATTGTATCATATTATTCAAATGTCCGTCTGCAAGCACAATATGGGCAGCATTAGCATCAGATTTTAATCAGGTGAATCTACTAAGGTGATCGTTTGTGCCTAAAATAATTTACAGAGGGGCACCTCAGGTTTTCTTCAACCAGTAAAGTTGGAAAGGTTGCCATTTGACCAATACTGTGTTGGTGCAAGGTAAAAAAACGTGTTGCAGATTTGATCCTTGGGCAACGCTGAACTCTTCCTTGCGATTTTCACACTGATCTTTGACATAGAGTGTAATGGTCGTTTGTTTCTCACTGCTGATTTTAGACCATGTAGGATTATTAGTCAGTCACTTGCAGAGAAGTTGTTAATTGCTCGTTAGTAATTCAGGAAAACCAATTAAGTGTACTGACCACCAAGTATGACCTAAGATGTATAACTTGGAGCATGCGAAAGAAACCTTAAATTTGGAGAAAAAAATGGGAAGATCAGACTCATGTTTATAAATTGCAAGTATT